ATTTTCCCATCCTGCGATGGTGAAACAAAGCATTTGCAAGGATCAAACGAGATTCTCAAAGCAGAGCTCAGTGAGTCCATGTCCTTATTTGTTGATCTCGCTCTCTCCTGTCGCAGCACTGATCAGTAACAACTTTTCCCCCTTCTAGACTGCAATCCCATGTTCTCAGCAGCGCGTTGTATCAACAAGTCTTGTGTTTGTCTGTTGAGCTCTTCAGTTTCACCAGCCTGGGATCCTTTTTTTTGCCAGGGCATTTAAGATCAAATCCTGCTTGCTTGCTAAATTGACAACACTTTCAAATTACGCTGTTTAATTTCATTCTTTATATAGGCACTGATTTTTAAGTGTATTACATCTGGGTATAGGTTTCCCCTGGATATTACCTGTGTAGGATGAAATTGTGAATTGTCCAGACTGTCTATAAAGCCACTTTAAAAAAAAAAAGTAAAAAAAAAATTAAAATATCATTACGAGGGTTTTTCTTGGTATAGGAAGAACATTCAAAAACTTTGTACCTAACTTATAATTCAATTTCATATTGTCTGTGGAATTATTTCGTTATTTCTGGATTGTCACACAAACTCGGCGTTTCCTTAAATTACAGTGGTTCTTGTTAACATTGCCCTCTCTTACTAGTGAGGATTGGGTCTATCAGCAATACGTTAACCTGCTCTGAATTCACTTCTACATCTGCCAGTCTGTAGTTACTGAAAAGATTTCTCTTTTATTTTTCCTGCTCTTTTCCCCTTGGCTAGTTCAGCATTTTCAGCCATTTTCCTTATTTTCAAAGGCTTACGCCTGAGGGATTAAGATCTACATTCGTTTAATATCAGGAATAAAGTGGAAGTTCCAGACTGCAAGGCTAAAAGTTGAAGAAAGATCTTTGTAGAGATTAATATTTCCCTTAGCAATCTGCGAGCTGAATCATGGTCTAATTAAATAGCACAGATTTTGCATTTAAACATTAGCAGACCCTAGAATGAGTAAAGCTGAAATGAGTTTGAATCTTTTCTGTAAATGGGAAGTTAAATTATCATAGTAATTTGATTAAATCATTTTAAAATCTTTCAAGCTAAATCGCCATTTTAAAAGAACAGTTTGAAGTCTTAATCGCTGTTTGGAAGTGCCCCTCTCTCTGCTATTTTTTCTTACCCCGTTTCCTGTGACAAAGTCTGTTTCCCAAGGCACAGCTTCCTAAACTGCTCCACGAACCACTGTTTGGCAGCAGAGTGCTTGCATTAGGCCAGTGGAGAGCTGGCCGGTCACATTCTTCCCAGCTGCTAAATTGATTTCAAAGACAGCAACAAATACATTAAATGCTTTACTACTATTACTTTTCCCTGTAAGCAATTGCTCTGTTTACCGGAGGGATGCTATACAGTCACCCCTGCAAGGAGGGGATAAGTTCCTTTGTTTTAAGATGTCCACACAGTGGAAGAGTGCGAGAGCATGGAGTGTAATAGCCGTATCAGAGAGGAGGTTTTGGTTCACCTTCCATTCTTGCGTTTTCTGGGGGCGTTCTCTTCCTCTTTTCCCTCCTCGCTCAGTTTCTACGTAAGAAATAGGTAGAGCATAGGTATTCCTAAGGCTGCCGGCCAAATTGCTATCCAAACTGCAGAGGTAAAGATCTCGGGGAAGTTTCATCTCTGTGCAAAAAATCTATTAGTCTGGACTCCATCCATCTATTTTCAAACTCAAACATGGTTGCAGTTACAAATACCGATTCTGGGAAGAATCAGACCGGTCTTGCACAGGGTTAAAAACTAAACATTTATAGTCAGGTTCTCCAGAAAGGCCTGTCTCCTTATGCAGAACGGCGTAAAAAAAAATTCACAAGAACGTCGGTCTTTGACTCGCCAAGCCTTTGTTGCTGATAAAATGCTCCCGTTTGGTTCCCCAGCAAATCTGGCCCTGGCACTGTGGGTCTGCGGAGAGGAGGAAAAGATGTGTAATTTCTGCACAAACTGTGCATGGTTTACGGAGGACTTATTTGGAGTAGCACATCGCGTGTTCTGTAGCACAACGGTGAATATCCAAGGACTTGGTAGAGAGTCCGGGAGTAAAGACGACAAATTGTTTGGAGTTTGCATTCCAAATTAAGCCCGGTGGCTGGACACTGTGCTTAAGACATCAGTCACGTTTGTATGTGTGCGTTAGCATGTCTGTATCGATTACATCTGTTTGTAGGACACAGAATTCAGGGATTTTCTCTTATTGACACAGAATTATTTAATAGAACTGCCGTATTAGAAAACTATCAAAAATGTATGGATTTGGGGAATGGTCTCACATTAATTAGAACTAAATTTTGCTAGAGGTAATATTTCCCTGTCATCTTTTTAAAAATGTTGTAGCCTTTTTCCCTAAGAGAGATATTTTTGCGTTTCTTTGCTTTCGGCACCGTGCACCTTGATGTGCAGTATCACATCCCTGCAGCGTATGTCTTAACTGCGTGCTTCTTAGAGCATGTATTCGCTAAGACTCAGAATTATTAAACATGTAAAATTCCCATAGGACTCCATTATGTGTAATTAACAGATAAACTGTCATCAGAATCAATAAAACGTGCTAAATGATCCAAACTTGTATATAATTAAGTGTTTTAGAGCGGGAGCTGTAACTTTTATTTTTTTCCTTTTCAATTTGCACATTTGTTTTGACAATAGAAGCTGGAACGTTTTTGTTAACCTGTTACTTACTGGTTTGTGTTTTGGTTTACGTGTTTGTGTTTGAAAAGAGAGAGGTATTTACTATCCGGCCTAATTATCTGAGGAAATAGTTGCACGTCAGCTTTTAGGAAATGAATCTTAGATGCATCTTAATTCTCTGAATGCAATTCAGGTATTTGAAGCACGTGCAAAATTTGATGTTGTTATCATCAACAGGGTAAAACATGAGGCTCTGTCAAAATACTGATCCAGGGCATCGGGCTGCTTAAGACGGGGCTTGGAAACGATGATAGAAGTGGGTTCTTCACCATCCAACTCCTCAGTCGTTATTCTGTCTGGGAACAGGAGCTTTATTCCAAAACCAAAAATTAAGATGCAAAGCAGCATTGTACTAACTAGGGTTTTCAAGGATATACTTTAGTAATGCCACATCCCAGTCTCACCCTGAGCTAAGCTTGCACAGTGTAGCCTATCCCTAGGGCTTGGACCCCCTCGCAGCAGTTATATTTTCATATGGTGTTTTGTTGGCTCTGTAAGTCTGTCGACCGTCCAAATTTTGGTAGCTGATAGGGGCTGTTTGGTGGCCTCTTTCACCTGTGACTGTTCTTCCTTACTTGCGTTCACCTCACTTTGGACCACATCAGGGTTTTTCTGGCATTTATGACCACATAGAAGTCAGAGAATTAGGGCTGCTCGTCCGAAGTCATCTTAGCGTGGTCCAGTAACTGCGTGTTCTCAGGGACGTCTTCCCTTTCTGTATCTATGCTGTTGAGGGCTTTACAGTTGTTTCAGTTAGATCTTTTCTTTTTATTTCACACTTCCATTGCTTTAATCTTTCCGGGTCATGTAGCAGTTCCGTTTAGTTCCTGGCGTGCGTTGTGTCTAGGCTTGTCACTCAATACTTACACCACCAAAACATCCCACCTGGAAAGGTACAGGGCGAGGCGCTTGCTTTGAGTGATTTAGAAAAAATGCAAAACCCCAATGATAACAGGATAAACCACCCTCTGAGTGGGTGGGAGAGAAGGATTACACCTTGTAGGAGGAGATGTTAGCTCCACAGAACAAAAGCTGTTCAGGAACATACTAAGTGTTGCCTGTCCATCTGAATGTGCCTGAGGGGGAAAAAATTTGCTAAACCTATCAGGAAATCACATCAAACCTGCTTTCCCTTGGGTCAGTGCAGTGGTCCTAATCCCGCGATTAGCATCTCTGAGCAGTGGGCAACGACCATGGCTTCCGACTCCACAGCCTTGGAGCCCGACACAGAATTTTACCCAGCTTTTCCATAGTAGGGCAGCCATTCTCGCTTCCCTGATGAAACGCAGACCTCAGTCCATACAGCCCTTTGGCACTATCATTTCTTCAAAGCAGTAACTGTAAGAGATGGTTTATGGAGCAGCGAGGGTGACTGGTTTACTTGTTTGAGGAGGATGAGGAGAAGGATTACTTACACAGGAGTTAATTACACACTTGTAGCTCCACAGCGGTTCCAGATACTTTCCTGAAGGTCAATACAGATATTAGTGGGTAATTATCTTCCTTCTTTGTGAAAGAGGATGGACAGAACCAGCGAAAGTGTTGTGCAGCCATAGCGTTATTTGACTTTTGGCACGCCAAACTGAAACCTCCTGTTGCTCCTTTGTTTTGCAGACTCAATGCACATAGAGGATGTTGAGGCAGTGCAGAAACTTCAGGACGTCTTACATGAGGCTCTGCAGGATTATGAGGCCGGGCAGCACATGGAAGACCCACGTCGCGCAGGCAAGATGTTGATGACTCTCCCGCTTCTGAGGCAAACCTCCACCAAGGCTGTGCAGCATTTCTACAACATCAAACTGGAAGGCAAAGTCCCCATGCACAAACTTTTTTTGGAAATGCTGGAAGCCAAGGTCTGACTAAAGCATCATGGGCTTCCCCATCATGCACGTTTTAAAAAAAAAAAAAAAAAAAAAAAAAAGGGAAAATAAACAGGATAATAATGGCAAAGAAACTTAGTGTTTAATTAAGGAAAAAATGACTGCACTGATATTTAGCAGCAAGACTGTGAAGCAGCTTTCGACTTTTTCTTCTGTGTCTTTCTGATGCAGTTTTTCTTTTCCTTTTCCTTTTCTCTCTTTTCCTTTCTGTTCTTTCCTTTCCTTTTTCCTTTTCTCTTTTTACTTTGCTGCTGAACTTTTTAAAAGAGGTCTCTAATTGAAGAGAGATGGAAGCCAGGCCTGCCAAAGGATGGAAATCCATAATATGGATGCCAGTGAACTTATTATGAACCATAATGTCCCCAATGACAAAGGAATCAAAGAGAGAACCACCGTACCTAGCAGTACAGTACAACACGATGAACTGACTGAATGCAGTATTAGATTTCATAGGAGCAGTCTCTAATTAGACGACTAAGCGACGATGCATCGGCTGCTTCTTATCATTGCATTTTCCATCTAGATCAGTTACAGCCATTTGATTCCTTAATTGTTTTTTCAAGTCTTCCAGATATTTCTTAGGTTAGCTACAATGTAACTTTTTCAGGGAATAGTTTAAGCTTTATTCATTCATGCAATACTAAAGAGAAAGAAATACTGCATTTTTGTGCTGGCTTGAACAATGATGAACAATAATGAAGGACAAATGAATCCTGAAGGAAGATTTTTTTAAATGTTTTGTTTCTTCTTACTAACGGAGATTTTTTTGTACCAGCTTTACCAGTTTTCAGCCATTTATTAATGTGGGAATTTATCTTACTAAAGCAATAGTCGAAGGGAAGGTGCATATTATCACGGATGCAATTTATGTTGTGTGCCAGTCTGGTCCAAAACATCCAGTTTCTTAACATGAGCTCCAGTTTATAACTAAATGTTCACTGACTCAAAGGATTAGATTACACCTGCAGTATATCCGAGTAGTCTAACATATAAGTACTCCATGTCAAATACCAATCTGTAACGGTGTTAGGAGACAGCGACTGTACAGAGGTATAGTTGCTACGTGATTTCTAACTGCTTCAGTTGCAAATGAACGAGATACTGCCTGTTTGCAAAATTATAACCTCACACGCAGAAAAACCCTATGAACCGATAGTAGCTTAGAGGCAATAAGGCAAATGCCGACGTTTGCAAAATTAAGAAATCAGAGTAGTAGACTTCTGACCAAATTGAAGAATTTAACACTTCTATACCTTATTTATTGATTTAGATCTTCTGTTGTAAATGGCAATCTTTAACAAGTAGCTAAACCAGTATATGTGCTTTTCAACCAGTATTGTCACAGCATGAAAGTCAGTCAGTTTCAAGACTGTTACGAGGTGTAATCTAATGTATAAACCGATTAGATGCCCCCAGAAAACTACAGTCGCTAAATAACCAATAAACAATAACCTCCATCAAATGCTATACCAATGTACCAGTGTTAGTAGCTGCTCCCTGTACTATGTGAACATCCTTATTCTATGTACACAGATGTAATTAAAATTGTAATCCTAACAAACAAAAGAAATGTAGTTCAGCTTTTCAATGTTTCATGTTTGCTGTGCTTTTCTGAATTTTTATGTTGCATTCGAAGACTGTTGTCTTGTTCTTCTTGTGGTGTTTGGATTCTTGTGGTGTGTGCTTATAGACACAGGGTAGAATTAGAGACAATATTGGATGTACAATTCCTCAGGAGATTACAGTAGTATATTCTATTCCTTACCGGTAATAAGGTTCTTCCTAGTAATAATTAAGAGATCGAAACTCCGAACAAATGCTCGTTACGAACAGATACACACTGAAATCATAATATTTTCAAAACAAGGGATAATTTCTGTAACAGTTTATTATAGAATACCAATGTATAGCTTAGAAATAAAACTTTGAATATTTCAAGATTATAGATAAGTCTAATTTTTAAACGCTGTAAATATAGCTTTTACTCAATCATCTCTCAGATGTTGTTATTAACTCGCTCTGTGTTGTTGCAAAACTTTTTTGGTGCGGACAAGTTTCCAAAACTATTGCTACGTTGTGTGCTTTAAACAAAATAACAATGGGCTGATGCTCCATCGGCCTCATGCTAGGAAAAAAAAAACTGTGTATCTATCATTAGCTATATGGGACTATATTGTAGATTGTGTTTTCTCAGTAGAGAAGTGACTGTAGTGTGATTCTAGGTAAATCATCATTAGCAATTCATTCAGATGGTCAATAACTTGAAATTTATAGCTGTGATAGGAGTTCAGAAATTGGCACATCCCTTTTGAAAAACGTCCAAAAAAAAAAATACAACTCCTGGGAAAAAGGTGCTGATTCTATAAGATTATTTATATATGTAAGAGTGCAAAAAAAAAGTTTATTTTCCAGAAAGTTTGTGCAGGGTTTAAGTTGCTACTGTTCAAGTACACTATATATATATAAATATATAATATAAATATTGTTTTTGCTGTATCACATTAAAGAACTTGGGCTTCAGGGTCAAGAGCCGATCGACTAGAAGTATACAAAACCACACAAAGAATGGAGATGTGTTAAAGGCACACGGTGCAACCTTTAGTTTCCGTTTTCCGTAATTTTTTGGAGCTGCAAAAGATCGAGTATCTCAAGACTGTAAAAGCGTTACCTGAAACATAGCTAAAAGAACCGCACGGGCTTTATAATGTTGTTCATCTTAAACCTTGCTGGAGAAGAGTTCTTTCAAGACCGCTTACTTAATGTGAAGTGTTGGGAAAATTTCAAAGGGTGTATGTTTTAGCCATAACGATTTAATTTCTATTTTTGCTTCATTTTTTAATTTTTTCTTATTTAAAGCAATATGATTGTGTAACTCCCAGAAGTTACACATTTGTTTCAATCAGATCAGATTGTTGTATTTATTCCACTATTTTGCATTTAAATGATAACATAAAAAGATATAAAAAATTAAAACTGCTATTTTTCTTATAGAAGAGAAAATGGGTGTTGGTGATTGTATTTTAATTATTTAAGCGTCTCTGTTTACCTGCCTAGGAAAACATTTTATGGCAGTCTTATCGTGCAAAGATCGCAAACGGACAAAAAAAATTAAACTGCTTATAATAATCCAGGAGTTGCATAATAGCCAGTAGTTAAAAACCGAAACAAAACAAGAAATGAAAACAAACATGTCTATAGCTGTAGATGGGCTTCACATCTGTATAGCAATCAACTGTATATTTTTGTGATGTGTATCATACCGTGTGCTCCAACCAATGTCCATTTGTGTAAATGTATTTATTTTATATTGTATATATTGTTAAATGCAAAAAGGAGATATGATTCTGTAACTCCAATCAGTTCAGATGTGTAACTCAAATTATTATGCCTTTCAGGATGATGGTAGAGCAATATTAAACAAGCTTCCACTTTTGATTGCTTTTATTTTATTTTTTGTGTTGTGGGGGGTTTTTGGTTTTGTTTTCTTTTTCGGAGAAGAAACAGAGCAATTAGCATCACCTTTTGTTCCTTCCGTTCAAAGAGGAGCCAGCGGTATCACTTCTGCCTTGAAGTACAATATGAGTGTAAATAAATGCTATATAAAGCCTTGTCGGAACGGATTCCGGTGTGGTACAAGACATTTTGCATATTTAAGAGTATGCAAAATGTCTCATAGCACATTAGAATTCAGGCTGGCAGGCCTTTATATAGCACTTATTTAATCTTAAAGCATCTTCACATCAACCCGCATTACTCAAAATCATTGCCTCTCCGTCAATGTCATAAAAGAAAACTTCCCCACTATTTTAAGATCGCGTTGAGACCATCTAGAAGTACTTGTTTGCTTTCTCCATCGACAACCGAGTCTTACCGCTCATTTCCTACTGCAGGAGACTCCTTTTATGTGTTCCGGGTGAAAAAAAAGTAATAGAGAAACCTGTATTATTTGATCCAGCTTTTCTGAATGGAAGTAAATAGCCACCGGAGCAACCGTATAGCTTGACGTTAACGAAGAGCGCTGATAAGTCGTCGAGATCCAGGGGGGTTAAACGGCACGGTTGCAAACTGGCAGTAAATGGCCTCTCAGCCCTTCACCTCCGAAAGGCCGCAGCCCCCGTCGCTCGGGGCCAGCCCCTCTTTCCCGTGGACCCTTCTGGAACCGTCACGGAAGTGCTAATGTGTGCTTTTCTTGCTTTTTAGCCTATCTTGATAGTATTCTGTCGTTGTGTTTGCCAACGTATTTCTCACCTTCGCTGCCGGCCGTTCTCTGGAGATGCTGGCTGACGGCACAAGGGCTGCTGAACAGAACGGTGATGCTCAGGGACGGGAATTGTTTCAGCCAAGCTACGGGGGCAGCGCCAGGGGCTTCTCGTGCTTCGCACTCTTTCAGTAGCGATATGCCTTGAAATTGAAATGGGAGGGCACCTCTTCCCTGCTACCAGTACCTTCCGTCTTTTAACTGTCCTAGGAAATGGGGGAGGGGGGGGGGGGGGATAGAACAAAAGAAAGATGCATCCCGCGTGGACTCTTCAAAGGAGGTCAAAATCGGTTTTTAGTGTTGCCGCTGCTGTGTACGCAGGCATGCGTGTACACACACACACACACACGCACGCACGCACGCACAGAACTGGGTCTTCCCCCTTTTTGTAGTGTTCAATTTTGAATTACTGCAAAGTACCTCTTCAAAGGAGACCGTAATACCGCAGCGTAACTTAAAAGTGAAAAAAGTAGCGTTACAAATCTTCACACACAAGGGGGAAAAAAAATGTAAACAGTGGTACTCCTCGTCTTCCTCGACGTGATTGTCTCTAATCCTTGGTTGAAGTCTTCACATGCGATTAAAAAATTGTAAGTAATATTTCTGCACCATTTTTCATGAGAGGATCGTGAAGCACCACACAATCATAAATTCAGCATCACAGAGGAGGAAATACAGGGAACGCTGAGCTGAAGCCACTGCTAGGGATGCAACTCTGCAGGGTTGTTTCGGTTTCTGACTTTCCGTCTTCTCCCTACGCTGTCTCTGCAGCGAAGCCAGGGCGGGCACAGAAATCCATCAGAAACATTTCGATAGGCAGAAATGTTTCAGTTCGGTATCTGTGGGGCATTTGGCTAGGAGCACAAACCTTTCTAAACTATGAAAATAGCTGCTAAATCTTCAGAGAAAATAAAAAAAGGGCTTGGGGCGGTGGCATTCGTAGCTCGACCAACACACCCTGCTACGGCTCTCGACTGCTGCAGCCCCAACCTGTGGCTGCAGCAACACCACTTGGCTAAAATAAGGAGACTGGCAAACCGACAGCCTTCCCGTTGTGGACGTGGCTCAGCTCAGCGGAACTAGATTTTGACTGACACGGTTTACATCGCCCTCCGCTTCCCCCCCCCCCCCCCCCCAATAAAAGAAGCCGTCCCGGTGTAAGAGCATGGTTTTGCCACCGTAGGTGCTTGTTTGACAGCCTTCTACCCCTGCCACCGCACCAGCCTGGCCGTGGAGCGCTCCGCTCCTCCCACGCTGTTACACTGGCACCCGTGCCTGCTCACAAGCTGGCCGATGCCGTCAGTACTGATGCAAAAGGAAAACGCGCCGCTTGCTGAGCTGGCTACTACATGGCGTGGGGTTTCTGACGGGCTTCGAGTTTTCTTTGGAGCTGCGCATCCAAGTAATCGTCTAACTTGATGGAATTTGGGCTTTTTGTTTGGTTGGCGGGTTTTTTTGACCTTGCGAGTTCACAGTGTGAAAAGGTCTGGCAAACGCCAATAAAAAGTACTCTGGTGTGGGCCCTCTGGCTGATCCTTTCTTAGAGAAAGAAATGGCATGAAAATCATGCACCAGTCAGTGCTATTACGCATGCAGTTCTGTGTGCTTCTTAACGCACAACGCCAATGCTGCTGAAATACTGATAGAGGTTAAATATGTAAAAAAAAAACCCAAAGCAAACCACCAAAAACAAAACGAAAGAAAGATGGATTCTGAAAGATGAGAGAGATGGAAATACTGTCCTTAGTAGGACAAGCCCCCATGCTGTACATCTTTAAGTGTCCTCCCGCAGCATCACCTGGTAATACCCTGCTGGAAAAAAAAAACCCTGAGCACAAAAATACCTGAGATTTTTTTTGTGTACAGGCTTGTGCAGCAGAAAACACCTCTTTTTTGCTTGTTTGTTTGAACATTGCCTGTCCTGGCTCCTGCGCTGAACTCAAGAATGGGACAGCTTCCATCTGCTTTCTGAATTTTTTTCTACAGCCTTTGTTTATTTTCCTTGCACCTTTCCTTTACTTTGCATTTCGTCTCTTGTGTAATGTAGGTCTCTGATTTCACATGGCACTTTGCTAATTACTATATCCTTCATTATATAGCCTGCCTGCTGTAGCCGCCTCACAAGGAGTGTGTTTTTCCTGTCTGATAAGATGCTGATTCTGTGTGTATGGGTTGTCTCTAACATACAGATCGTAAACTTCATCTTTGTGGTTGCTATTACGGAAGGGAAAAAAAAAAAAAGTAACTATAGAAAAGAATATGGGCGCATTTATTTGCTTTTAACATCTTTATTCACAAGCGTTCAGAAGTGTTTGCGTTGCCACATCCCGGCCATGCTAATCGTTCGTATTTTGTTAAGATTAAAGGCCGCTCTTTCTTGGCCTTCAGATTCCCAAGCCTAGTTCCGTACAACCTCCGTTAATATAAAAAAGCAAGTGGCTGTAGATTGATTACGCGCGGGCTCTTATTATTAAGCAGAACAGAAAAGAAAGGAATTTCAAAATATAATCCTCCGTTCCCAGGAGTATTTGTCTTGTTCTCCATGAAGTTAAAGGTCTGAAATAATGTGCCCATCAGGAGCTCAATGTTGCATGTCCATGCCAGTTGGTCCAAGGGCTTGTTATGATGGTAATGACCTGCTGAAACGTGAGCTTTGATGGCAACAATACAATTGCTACCAGCTCACCCGCTGGGAGAAATATTTTATTATTGTCAAATGCCCTCCGCAGAGATTTGTTTTGCCTGTTCCTGTTTAAATTAAATTCAGAGCAGAACTGCATTATTATTTCTCTAGAGTATATTTGAAATAAACAACTAGTCTCCAAATTTAGGATTCCTGGTTAGTTTAAATTTTCTTATTAGCAGAAAAATTACAATAGGTGACAACATAGCTGCAGGAATATTATTATGGCAGCCATACGAGAGATTTACACACTGAGAGCATGGCCTAAAAGCATGAGAACTCCCTTCTACTTTACAAACGCCAGCCAAATTAATAATTAACTGTGCCATAAATTCTCCAGCCTTCAAGAATGATGTCAATGCTCTTCTGTGTCACACTAGTGGAATTTTGTCATAAGACTAAGTGGTGTTCTTCATAAAGAGCGTTACTTATATGTAGAAAGCGGCCCAAGAAAACAGCCCTTGCCACTCCATATTGCAGCAGCTCAGCGAACGAGTGACAGCAGGACTTCAGAGTCATTTACTGCTGCTTTCTCAAGGCAAAACTATCTCCTTACGCCTGTGAAACAGAGCAAATTTTGTTCCACAGTAAATGGGCCAGATTATCCCTTCCACAAGCTAAAGAGACAACACTAAATCCCAGCTCATGTAATTTCCTTCAAAATTGTTCTGCTCGGGCTGGGTGTTCCCAGGAGCGCCACCAGCCGAATTATCCAGCGATTCAGCTGTACTTAAATTGGCAGATGTCAGAGATTTAAGACAGTCCCGAAGCCTTAACACAAATCCTCTGCTTCTGTACTGCCTCGTGGCCTCTCCTCGCTCCCCAGCCGATGCCACCGTTGCTGCCCGCTGCTGAGCAGCTGATCCCGGGGACCGACAGGCTGCCGGGCAGTGCCGTGATTGCCTTGTTCAATCCAGCTCCGAGAGCCAGGAGTGGGGGGGCAGACGACGTGCTCAGGGTTTGCAGCTCTATCTTGCTAAAAACAGGCTGTAACCCTGCGTTTCTCATGCACGGGGCCTGGTTGTCCGCTTGCTCTTTGCCTTTTTCCCTGTCTCCTGAGTGCTCACGCCAGTGAAAAGCTGCTCCATCTCAAGACTGGGTGATTTTTGTACCCTGCTTTGCTGAAACATGCCTTACCCAGAGAGGCACTTGAGTAGTGCAGGGCAGGCACCTTAGCATGGGCAAGGCGACACCTGTAAGCTAATGGCGCGAGGGCAGGTTATCTGCCCCACATCAAGACGTGGACATCTATTAGAGGAGCTACCACACCCCTGAAGAGGGAGGAACATTTACAGGGGAGGGGAGGACTGCCGGGTACACTTCCCCTGCCGTGATCCCCCTTGGACTGCATTTCCCAGCCCCTTGCACGAGCTGCCAGCCGCTCACACCAGCTGTGGTCTGACCGCCGGAGAGCGGGGACCACCGCGGCCGGAGCCGTGAGCCGGCGTGGTTGAGGATGGCAGTCTTTACAGGCTCGCCCCGCAGCCAACAC